TACAACAACACCTCTTAACCCAACCTGTGAACTGACAACAACAACTGTGTACCATATCCTACAACACCTCTCAACCCAACCTGTGAACTCACAACAACAACTGTGTACCATATCCTACAACAACACCTCTCAACCCAACCTGTGAACTCACAACAACAACTGTGTACCATATCCTACAACAACACCTCTCAACCCAACCTGTGAACTTACAATAACAACTGTGTATCTTATCATTTTTTTTTATTTGCTTCTGGAAACCTCATTTCATCAACAGTTGATTACAACAGAATAGTTTAAATTTTGTTTTTTAGGAAACAGAAAATGATTATTAATAAACGAGACAAGCATTTTTGCACAAGATATACTGACGAGGGTCCGCTTGTAGCATTTTTTGTCTAATACAATATTACAGTCTGCTAACTGATACATTGAAAGGCACATTAAAATCCTGATTTGATGTGCCTTTAAATGTATAAAAGTTAACACACTGTAATACTTTTGGTTATAATTCTTGAACAACTGTTAAATGAAAATTAAAATACAGCATAATAAAAACTAAAAAAATCCTACATCAAGGCAAACCACTTAGAGTATTTTAGTACAGGTTGTTGAATGGATGAACTCTTGATACGGTACTAACAATATTGTGAAGTTGCTCAAACTTATAACAAGTATCATTATAAACATCTGTATTTACAATTGTATAATAAAAGTGTAAAATTTTCTTCTGTAATCTATTACTGCACCAATCATTCCTAAAGTTTTAAATACCAACTATGATGTGGTTAACTTGTTCTGTAATCTACATACAAACTTCATATCAAATACTTTATTTTCTCGTCTACAACCGACAAGTCAAATGCCAAACATTTTCATATTTTACCATGTAATTAACATATTGTTATTAACTAAAACTACTAATACTGAAACAATGATTAACAAGAATCACATCTTTTCTGTTTCACTTACAAAATTTTATTTCTTCAGAGAACTCTCGCAATAAATTTTTTTATACCATACAAATGTTCTTTATCTCAAAGTTCAAGATTATAATCACCATAACAAAAATAAACTAATCAGTAGGAAGTTAAATTAAAGGAAGTTATAATCAGTAGGAAGTTAAATTAAAGGAAGTTATAATCAGTAGGAAGTCAAATTAAAGGAAGTTAAAAAAATAACATACTACACCAACTTTTGTTCCCAAAATATTAACTGTATATACATGTTAAAGTATCATCTTTGGTTAACATGATAATCCAAAGAGCTCTCCCTACAGGATAATATGCTTGCTGTTAATACAAAGTAGATAAAAAAAAAAGTACTTAAAACACTACAATTAACTTAAGGTATCATATTCCAGCCAAGTTAAAAAACGACAGTGTTATTTATTATAATTAAATACTAAATAAAAAAAGCTTTAACTTAAAATAAATGCCAATTCTTTACGAGTATTAGCAGCAAAAGGCTTCAATATATAAAAATTCTTTCAACGGACACGTACTGGGACTTATCCATTCATCACC